AGATTGGAGTTTGTAAACTCAAGAGGCTTCGATAGCCTTGGCAGTTTATGACAAGAGCCTTAGGCGATTACTGACATCATAAATAAGTATGTCAGTTGTTAAATCAACAACAGGAGTCACTGTGCACCTACTCCCCATGTAGGATCTCTGTCTTTAATGTGTTGTACTATGTGAATTAAGGTAAAACTGCTACTCAAACAGTACCCTAGGGGCTGGTGCTGTGGCTCACTTGGTTAATCCTCTGCCTGCAGTGCCGGCATCCCATATGGGTGCCGGGTTCTAGTCCCAGTTGCTCCTATTCCAGTCCAGCTCTCTGCCGTGGCCTGGGAGGGCAGTGGAAGATGGCCCAGGTGTTTGGGCCCCTGCACCCTCGTGGGAGACCAGGAAAAAGCACCTGGCTCCTGGCTTTGGATCGGCGCAGCACCAGCCATAGCGGCCATTCGGGGAGTGAACCAACAGAAGGAAGAACTTTCTCTCTGTCTCTCTCTCTTTCTCTCACTGTCCATAACTCTGCCTGTCAAAAACAACAACAACAAAGAAAAACAAAAACAACAACAAAAAAACCAGTACTCAATACTTTGTGTGTCTGTGTGGGTGCTGTCAATCTTTACTTAGTGTATACTAAGTTGGTCTTCTGTATATAAAGATAATTGAAAATGAGTCTTGATGAAGAATGGGATGGGAGAGGGAGATGGGATGGTTGCAGGTGAGAGGGAGGTTAAGGGGGGAAAAGCTGCTATAATTCAAAAGTTGTACTTTGGAAATTTCTTAAATAAAAGTTGGAAAAAAAAAAAGAAAATGTGGTATATATACACCATGGCAAACTACCTAGCCATAAAGAAGAATGAGCTGGTGCTGAGGCTCACTAGGCTAATCCTCCGCCTTGCGGCGCCGGCACACTGGGTTCTAGTCCCGGTCGGGGCGCCGGATTCTGTCCCGGTTGCCCCTCTTCCAGGCCAGCTCTCTGCTGTGGCCAGGGAGTGCAATGGAGGATGGCCCAAGTGCTTGGGCCCTGCACCCCATGGGAGACCAGGATAAGTACCTGGCTCCTGCCATCGGATCAGTGCAGTGCACCGGCCGCAGCAGCCATTGGAGGGTGAACCAACAGCAAAAGGAAGACCTTTCTCTCTGTCTCTCTCTCTCACTGTCCACTCTGCCTGTCAAAAAAAAAAAAAAAAAAAAAAAAGAAGAAGAAGAAGAAGAATGAAATTCTGCATTTTGCAACAAAATGGATACAACTGGAGACCATTATGCTTAGTGAAATAAGGCAGTCCCCAAAAAGACCATTATCATATATTTTCTCTTATGTGTGTGAGTTACTCTAGAATACCAAAAAATGTGTAGGAATGAAATGGATATCTTGTTTGTTGCCTTAGCTGTTGTTTATACTACTATGGAACTATGGTCTTTCTACTTTTTACTTGTTGAATATTATGGTTAGTGGTGGATTAAGCCTGTTATTATAGAGTGCAATTAAATTATGTTTCTGCAAAAATTAAAAAATAGGGAAAAAGGAATTAGGGAAGGGAAAGATGGAGGGTGGGAAGTATGATTATCTTCTTAGAATTGTACTTGAAAAAGACATGAAATCTGTTATGTTTATATTAATAAAATATTTTTGAAAAAAAGTGGAGCAGCTGGGACTCAAACCAGCACCCATATGGGATGCTGGCACTTCAGGCTGGGGCTTTAACCTGCTGTGCCACAGTGTCAGCCCCTAGACACGCCTCCCCAAACCCCACCCCACCCTCCATCCCTGGGCTCAAGAATATTGAGACAATCAAAGGGGGCTGGTTCTGACCCAGCTCTCTGGTATGGCCTGGGAAAGCAGTAGAAGATAGCTACTTGGGCCCCTGCATCTGGGTAGGAGACACAGAAGAATCTCTTGGCTTCGGATCTGCCCAGCTCCAGCCGTTACAGCCATTTGGGAAGTGAACCAGCAGATGGAATATCTCTCTCTCTCTGCCTCTGCCTCTCTGTAACTCTGTCTTTCAAATAAATAAATAAATAAATCTTAAAAAAAAAAAAGACTATCAAAGGTACATAATCTTTGAACATAGTGAATTTTATGACAAAAAGACAAAAATCCATCCGAAATACACATTATTTGGGACTACAATTTAAATTTCCATATGAATCAATTCTTACATTTGTAATATGTTTTGGAGTCATTACATAAAAATATAGAATAATTTGAAATCTTTTTATTTTGTATTTACTGTGGAGATTTATTCCCAGAGGAGGCTTTTCTGATGCAAAATTGGAGTGCTTCCGTAGTCATAACAGCTGTCTCCACACCATGTGGTGTCTTCCATTACTTTACTGTAGAGATGAATTTTTGGCTCAGTGTTTCAGTAATATTGGACACACATGGTTTTAAGTGACAAAGCAGTATGCCTTTGCATTCATTTGACTTTCACAGCTACAGTTGGCCCCAGATTAGAACAAGGAGAATACATTCACACCATGGCCACCCTCATGGCTGCTGTAGTAGCTAGATCACAGTAGGCTCTGTTGCTTCTAAAGACACAACTATTGCTGAGGAATTACACATTCGCCAAAGTGCCTCACCGCTGTAGGAGGGAGAATAATGAATTGCTGAAAAGATTCTCTCAGATTTCCTAATTATCAATCCTTGTTTAACATTAATAATAAAAACCATGGCCATGAAATTACTGCAAGACTAAAAGGAAAGATTGTCATAGCAGTGGGTGATTTTTCAAGATGTCATTCCAAATATTTTATTTGCAATTTTTCTTTACGAAAATAAGTATTATGCATTTATACTCATTAATAAGGAATTAAAATCAAAATTTTTCTAATGCCCATTGTTCATTATGTGCAAGCTATTTGAAAAGCCAATCAATTAAAATATAAATTATTTTGAGGAACTAGTTTATTATGGGAAACAATGATTTCTATTTTTGACATTTTAAACAATTTTGTTTCCTTCAAAAATGTTAAAATGAATCCAGAAATTAGATGGTTTGATTTAGTGTGAAATTGCAATAATCTAGTGTATGGTTTGAGTACTGTATCAGTGTGTATCTTTATTCAGTTTCAGTGTCATACTCTTCATGATATCATTTTTGTCCTGTTAACTTATATTTAAATTCTTCTTAAAGCTTAACTCTTTTCCATCTCTGAAACCAATTGGTATACTTACTTAAAGTTTCAGCTTGTAACAAAAATATTATTTCCTTGAAAATCCAATTATGTTACTCTAAATAGTGCCTGAATAATACTTTTTCTCTTAAATAAAGCAAAAAGAAAAACCTGCTGTATAAATTTTTAAATCATCTGATACGGAGAATTAGATTTATGATATTCATTAAATATCAAAGAAATTCCAAGCAGACCCAGTGTAGGATACCTTTTTATATAAGTGAATTTATGCATGTATTGTAGGGGCTGTACTGATGAATATGTTTGAGGCTTTCAGCTCTTAGTGGATACAAAATAGAATGATTGATAAAATCCTCCCTACTATTGGCTATTATTTACTGACTCTTAAGTGGCAGGTTGTATTTATGCCAATTTATCTGCTTCAGGGAACATTCTTGATAGCAGAACAAAGTGAATAAAAGTAGTTTGCTTTGCAAATGAATGCAAATGGGAGAGCCTTTCGGAAAGCCCTTTAACAGGGGCAGTGCACTTTGATTATGAGTGAAGCTGCCATTTGGACATGGTGAAAAGAGCACGCTGGAACCATTGATTGGGGGAGACAGTAAAAAGTCAGGAAGGGCCCCGTTAAGCTTGCAGTGAGGCAGGCGGATGTCAGTGTGGTTAGAGCACAGTGGGAGAATGACAGGGAGGATTAGTGTCAGGGAGAAGCTGTGCTGTAGCTGTGGAGATAGTCCCTGGGGTCACTCACCTCTGACTGCTGTTCTGTGCTGATGGTTCTGTAATGCAAACTGCCTGATGTATGACTGTTCATGATCGGAAATGGTGATGAGAAAAGGTATTTGCCTCAAAGATTTCCTTTTCTTTCTTTTTCTTTCTCTGTCTCTGTCTCTCTCCCTTTCTCTCCCTGCCTCCCTCCCTCTCATTAAAGGAAAATAAGGTAGGCTTTCTCAATTTCTCTGCTGGCTACTAGAGTATTGTTTAATACCAGAGTGGTTACTGGCTCTGGTTGAGGATAGCTTAGTGCTACAATACAATGTAAAATAACTAACTTGGTTGTTATTTGATCATTTCTTTTTCTTAGTTTTGGGTTTGACCACTGTGACAGATAAAATGTAGAAAGCCTGTTTGCTGTTAGAATTTTTGTTTTGTGGATAATAATCTTTAAGGTGTTTTATTATTCAGTCTAATAATTTGGTCAACTTTTAGAAGCCACTTATCTTCCCCAGATTGAAATGTTACTATGTATGGATTGATGGTTTAAGTGTGGGGCACAAGAGTTCCTAATTTTCTTTCTAGTCCCAAATTTTATAAAGTGCTAGCATTTGAAAAATTAAACTTCTTGAAAATGTTATTTTTTAAGTTAAATATTGTTACGTAGAATGAACCAAAAACCATCTTTGTCTCAGTTCTGATTCTAAATCAGCATTTTCTTTGTTCACATTTTCATTTATACTTGTAAGGATTTGATTTTGTTTGTTTTCGTTAAAGGATAACTGAAAAACAAACTTCAAGCCTTTTAGTACTAACCTATGTGAGGCATTTGTGAGCAACATTGCATTTCATAGGCTTTGAGAATGATGTCTCACTTTAATGCAAAACTGAAATGTCTTGTTTTTTAATGTCTTCAAAATCCTGCTTTTGTCGTATTTCTTTTTTGGTATGCATCGGGAAATCTTAAAAGGATGCTGGAGCTTTGCATTTAATATTCAACTCAAACTGTTGCATATAATATATATTTTATTATTATACATTTTAGATACACTTTATTTTTTTAATGCAGAAAACACATTGCCAGTAATTTGTTTTACAGGTTTGTTAAATGTTTTAACAACCTTTTTCCCAATTACCTCTTTATTTTCTTTAATGTTTTGTAGGCACCCGAATGGACAGAAGAGGACCTTAGCCAGCTGACAAGAAGTATGGTTAAGTTCCCAGGAGGAACCCCAGGTCGATGGGAAAAGATTGCCCACGAATTGGGTCGATCTGTAACAGATGTGAGTTCACTCAGATTTGCATTGTGTGGAGAGTGACACAACAGAGTAACCCAACTATGTATGCATAGAAGGCAGACATAGATGGGTCCAACATTATCTTTGGAGAAAAGCTACAATCCTTTTAGGACTTGGGAGTGAACCATTAATGAAATAAGCAAGAAGCAGATGTGAACCAGTCCCCAGGTTCACCATTAACAGCTGTGGGAGGAATTTTAGTATTTAGAGACTCAAGCTACTGTAACCTAATCACATAAAAACAAGGCCAGTTTTTGTGTTTATAGTGACTCCTTTAATTGTGGAACAGATAGATCTCAAACTGATCATAATTAGAGAGGTTATATGTCAACTGGGTCTTTTTAGCCCTGAAGTACAGATTGCTATTACATTTAGACAGGTGGTTTGGATTAATTAAAACAATATTCCTGTCATACAAACAAAATGTTTGCCTTTTTCTTTCAGATGATACTAAACATTCATTTTGACAGATTTTTTAACAAGAAGAATATGTAGATACGTAATATATACACATATAGATCTTATAGATACAAATATTCCTATATTTATGTTAGCCATAACTAACATTTAAAATACAAAGTATTTACCTGGAAAGGGTTTGACCTAACACTTAGGATGCTTTTTCAGGAAATTTAAAGAATCTTCTTAAAAACACCTAGCACAGTGCCTGATATGAACTAAATATACAGTAAATGTTTGATTGAAATAGAGAAAAAATCCTTATTTTTATTATCAATAATTTCACAAAGGTTAGTAAATATTCTTTACTAAGTTTACTTTAAATAAATCTTACCGATCTAAAAGTACATAAGAGGCTACTGAAAGCCAAGATTTAAATGCTCCCTTCAATTCTGTAAGTATGCCATTAGGGTTTTTAGGTAATAATTTTTTAAAACCCTACAAAATGAATACTAAACACAGCTTTCATAAAAAAGCTTTGTTGTAACTGCTATTTTCTATGGACTTCCACTTTTTAAAGACAAACTTACAAAAATATTACTGTTAAATTTTTTTTTTAGATTAGGCTTTCTTGGAGAATTTTAAGCTATATATATGAATACTGTTATTTCTATATAGGTATTTTATTTGAATTTTTATAATAAGCTTTGCATTATTTTTACTCAGAGTTAAAGTCTAATTATGGGGGCAATAGCAGTTGGATCTTGTGACAAACTTCTCTGCTATGATTCGTGAGGAGTGTGTTGCTGGGCGTACATTTTATAATCTTGCTTTCTAAGATTGTGAAAGATAAGCTAGTACACTTCTCTATAAGGACTTGACCAAGTTAGAAACATTTCATGGTTATTGATATTTTAATTTAAATACTATGACCCTCTAATTATACAGCAGCTATTAAAAATGATTAACAATAATTACTAAGGTAATTTTTAGAAAGTTACAAAACATTGCTTTAAAAGGCCTCAAATTTTTAGTTCAGTTACTCCTTTGAAGACAGTACCACCTCTGACTAACTTTTTAAATAATATTTCTTTGAGGCTCTGTAGTGCTAAAGGCAAACAGGGAACTGAGTAGAGCAACATTTTTAATTAATTTGCTGTTATAAACAGATAAAATCTGGTTTATATTTTTATCTAGGAGAGAGGTGAAAGTTTACAAACTGCTAAGAACATAAGTTATGTAACCAACAGTCTCATAGATTTGGATATCTGTAATTAATTTACAAGAATAATTTTGGTGCAGCCATGGGCATTATTTTAAATCTTTTGTGAACTCATCCCATGTATTTCAGTTTTTTCTCCAGATTTACCCAAAGGACACTGATTTTATGGCTGCAACAGATATTTTTTTCTTTTATCATGGAAGTAGAAAACTTGGCTTTTTAAGTTGTTCTTTCATTTTGTTTTTACCTTGGAAATAAATTTTTAATAAACTTGAATTTTGTGGCAGCAAAAAAAATGCCATTGTAACCCTTTCCTCTTTGTCAGTATATGTATATATATATGTGTGTATATGTGTATTATATATATATATGTAACACATATATATGTAACACTCATATATATAATACAGAGAGAGAGAGAGAGACAAACTCTCCGTTTTCATTCTGTGAGCAGCATCTCCAAAGCTGGGCATGTATTTCAGTAACTACACACACATGTGCAGGAAGTTACTCTGACTAAAAGAGAGTAGATGTCTGAAGATTCAGGTAACTTGAGTTAGTAACTCGGAGGAGTGACCTGTGAATCGCTGTGGGGCAAATAAAATGGGTTCAGCAAGTGCAGTTCCTTCACTAGAAAGTTCAGTGAAAGTTAAGCACACCTTCAAACATCATTTATGCTTCTTCTTGACTTATGGTGCTAATTAGATTTGTTTTCATTAAGTATGTGATTCTGAAAAAGAAGTCAGCTTCAGTTGGCTGTCAGAAGAACCTCTGCACACTGACCTGATCGTCTGACCAGTTCTCTCCGCACAGCTGTTCTTTGACCCGATTTCCTTTCTGAATTTGTAGCTTCAGGCTTAGTTCTCTTTCTTTCTAGAAACAATTGACCTTTTGGGGAAAAAGGTGAGAGTGTGCCAGTGGTAGGATCCATATGGTTCTTCATTTGGATTGACACTTTACAGTAAAAAACAAAAAACAAAACAAAAAAACCATATTTTATGCCTCGATTAGGAAAGGAATTAAGGATGTTAACTGTCATAATTAGCAGAACTAGATTGCTAAATTCTACTCTGGATAGATATGAGCAGTATTTTTAGCTTTAAAAAATTGATGCAAATTACATTTTAAATCAGATACACCTAAAACTGTAAAACCTATGTTGTTATTATTATAGATTAAATATTTTAGATGTTAATATATACCTTTGAGCAAATATTTTAGGTAACCACAAAGGACACTGAAATTGTAAAAATAACAGAGAAAACAAAAACTGTATGGCTTGTAAAATCAACTTTAATGTGATTAGTAACTGCAGGTTTTCTAAATCAAGGTCAGTGAGCTTCAGATTTCTTGCTTGTGAAGTAATACTATTCTCTAGCCTGAAAGGATGTAAACTGATTCTGCTTCTCTCCATGATCACTAATCTCTTGCATTCTGGTTATGATATCAGACTGGACATTGCTGCCTGCTTCAAAAAGGTCCAAGTAGGCAGCAAAATAAGACAGGCAGCTAGATTTAAACAGACTTTATAATTAGCTAGTGCCATAGTGAGGGAAGAGAGGTGTGTAGTTAGATAAGGAACCCTTTATACAAGCGAAGAGTAGGAGAAAACATTTAAAAATCCCCAATTTTATTTTACATTGCTACAACTAGAGAAGAGGCAGAGAAATATCTATAGGCATTTATACATTATTGGGTTTTTTTAAAAATTTTATTTCTTTGAAAGACAGAGTTACAGAGAGAGAGGTCTTCCATCCGCTGGTTCACTCCCCAGATGGCCACAACGGCCAGAGCTGCACCAATCCGAAGCCAGGAGCCTGGAGCCTCTTCCAGGTCTCCCACGTGGGTGCAGGGGCCCAAAGACATGGGCCATCTTTTACTGCCTTCCCAGGTAACAGCAGAGAGCCAGATCGGAAGAGGAGCAGCCAGGACCAGAACCAGCGCTCATATGGGATGCCGGCACTTCAGGCCAGGGCTTTAACCCACTGTGCCACAGTGCCAGCTCCTGTACATTATTGTTATAGTAGTTATTTCAAAAACATAGGAGTGGGATTTTTCAATTGAAAATAAGTTTTATGGTGTATCAGTAAACTAAATATATAATTATTAGCTTGGCAAATATATTGCTACTACTTTTTGAGTCAGACAGTCTCTATATAGAATAATGAAAATGACAAGGGTAGTCTTTCTGGCTTCATCCACATCGTCCTCTTACCAGCTTCCTACTGTAGCAGTTCCCTAGGTCTGGGCCTAATTCCATACTTTTCTCCCTCCCTTCTTCCCTCACAACCTCACAGACTTAATGATATAAATGAATGGTTCCTTATCTCATTCTCCTTGAGGGATTGCTCACTAGTTAATCTTATAACCAACATGGTGCCTGATCATGTAATGTGTTACCAAATGTCTGTCTCTCTTTCTCTGTCTCTCACACACACACATACTTATATTTGTGTTTTAATAGGAGTTTTCAAGTTCCAAGGATATAAATGATTGCTCTAAGAATTTCAGACAACTTGGTTACCTGTCAGAGAAAGAAAGATAATGGATTACATTGAGGGCCTAGGTCCTTTTGTGTTCATAAGTTAAAATTGTATAATTAATTGATTAATCTCTCTATAGATATGGGTAGAGTTTTGCTAAATATTCTATGATTTTTAGACCACAAGCTTACCGATTTATATTCCATGTCATCATTTCTGTCTTAACATTGAACAGAATTACCCATAAGACATGATTATAAACTGTATATGAGAACTTTAAAAAATTTAGTTAGCAAACTAATTAGTTATCAAGCTAACATTTCATATTTTTATTTATTTACTAAAGGCAGAAAGAGCTCTCACTGGCTCCCTCCCCAAATGCCGGCAACAGTCAGACCCAGGCCAGGCCAAAGCCAGGAGCCAGGAACCCAATCCTGGTCTGCCCAGGTACTTGAGCCATTAGCTACTGCTTCCCAGGATGCACAGTAGCAGGAAGCTGGACTGGAGAGCAGAGCATGTACTCAAACCCAGGCACTCAGAAATGGAATGCAGGTGTCTTAATTGCTGTGCTAAACACCTGCACAACGTTTTTATTCTGCTTTAGTGATACTATTGATTATTCCGTTATTTTTGTAGTATTTTATACCTTTCAAAGCTTTCAAATATATAGTCACACACTGTTTAATGATGGAGATACCTTCTAAGAAATGCATTGTTAGTTTTGTCATTGTGCAAACATTAAAACCTACGCTTAAACTATGGCAAATGTGGCATCATCAGGTGATAGTCTTTTTAAGATTGATTTATTTATTTGAAAGGTAGAGTTAGAGAGAGAGACGCAGGTATTTCCTCTGCTGATTCATTCCCAATATGGCCACAAT